CCTGTCTCCCAATATTTATTCTATTTTTGAAAATGTCCCATGTGCAATTGAGAATAACATATATTCCGTGGCTTTGGGGTGATATGTTCTGAAGATGTCAATTAAGTCCATCTGATCTAGTGAGTCATTTAGGATTGCTGTTTCTTTATCGTTTTCTTGTCTAGAGGATTTATCTAGTGATGTCAGTGGTGTATTAAAGTCCCCTACTATGATTGTATTGTTGTCGATGTCTCCCTTGATATCTTCCAGTTTTTTTTATGTATTTGGGTGCTCCTGAATTGGGTGCATATGTTTACCAGGGTTATATTCTCTTGTTGTATTGATCCCTTTAGTATTATGAAGTGGTCTTCCTTATCTCTTGTTATGGCCTTCACTTTGAGGTCTATTTTGTCCATTATAAGTATTGCTACCCAGCTTTTTTTCATTTCCATTTGCCTGAAAGCTATTTTTCCATCCCTTCACTTTCAGTCTGTGTGAGTCCCTTATTCTGAGGTGGGTCTCTTGTAGACAGAAAATATATGGGTCATGGTTTTTTATCCATTCAGCCACTCGATGTCTTTTGATTAGAGCATTTAGTCCATTTACGTTTAAAGTTATTATTGAAAGGTACTTATTTGTAGCCATTTCTTTTTTTGTGTGGCTGTTTTCTTTCTTAACTTTTTATTTCTTCTTTTCATACCAGTCCCTTTAGCATTTCTTGCATTGCTGGCTTGGTGGTGATCAACTACTCCCTTAGCCTTTTTTTGTCTGTGAGGCTTCCTCTTTCCCCTTCAATTTTGAATGATAGCCTTCCTGGATAGAGTATTCTTGGATTCATTTCTTTGCTTTGCATCACTTTGTAAATTTCCGTCTATTCTTTCTGACCTGATGTGTTTCTGTTGAGAAATCATTTGATAATCTAATGGGAGATCCCTTGTATGTAACTTCCCATCTCTCTTTCAGCCTTTAAGATTCTCTCTTTGTCCTGAACATTTGCCATGGTAATGATGATGTGTCTTGGTGTTGGTCTTTTTGGGTTCACCTTGTTTGGGACTCTCTGGGCTTGTGTGACTTTTTGCTTCCCCACCTCAGGGAAGTTTTCTGATATTATTTCTTCGAATAGGTTTTCTAATCCTTGTTCATCTTTCTGTTGTCCTGGCACCCCTATTATTCGTATGTTGTTTCATTTCATGTTGTCCCATAGCTCCCTTAGGCTCTCCTCCTGTCTTTTAATTTTTTTCTCCAATTGCAGTTCAGTTTGGGTGTGTTTTGCTTCCCTGTCTTCTAATTCGCTAATTCAGTCCTTCGCTTCTCCTAGTCTACTGTTGAAACTTTCAATGGTGTTTTTTATTGCAGCTATATCACTCTTCATTTCTTCTTGGTTCTTACCTAAGTTATTGATTTTTTCATCCATTTCTTTTTGATTCTTACATAAGTTGTTGATTTTTTCATTCATTTCTTCTTGTTTCTTGGATAAGTTGTTGATTCTTTCCTCCATCCGGTTTATGCATTCTAGGACCCTTAATCTGAGTACTTTTTCTGTCATGCTGAATGCCTCTGTTTCACTTAGCTGCTTTTCTGGCGAGTCCTCCTTTTCTTTCCTGTGGGGGTTTCTTTGTCTACCCATGTTTGATCTTACGGACATTTCTAGATGTTGAGTCATTCAGGGGCTGCTCCTTGGGTGGTAGTGGCTTCTTGGGCTGTGGTTGCTACTAGGGCGGTTGTGGTAGCAGCTGCTCCTCAGCTGGCAGCAGCTCCTCTGGTGGGTGATGTTCACAGCTGTGGTGGCTCCTCTGGCTGGTGCGGGGAGGCTTCCCACACAGCTGCTGTTCCTCAGACAGAGGGTGTGATGATCACGAGGCTGCTGTTCCTTGGATGGGGGCGGGCTACCCATGTAGCTGTTACTCCTTAAACTGGGGCGAACTGCTCATGTGGCTGCTGATCCTTGGATAGGGGGTGGCTGCACACTACTGTTGTTCCTCTGATGTGGTGGGCTGCTTGTGGGGCTACTGCTCCTAGGACTTGGATAGGTTGATTGCAAGTCTGCCGCTCCTCAGACATGCGTGGTCTGCTCATGTGGCTGCTGCTCCTCAGACCAGGGTGGGCTGCTGCTGCTCTCAAATGGGGCCTGGCCACTCGCAGAACTGCTGCTCCTTGGATTGGGTAGGCTGCTCGTGCGGCTGCTGCTGCTTGGACAAGGGCAAGATGCTTGTGCAGGTGCTGCTCCTCGGACTAGTGCAGGGTGTGTGCAGCTGCTGCTCCTCGGATGGGGGCAAGCTGCGCAGGGCTGCCGCTCCTCAGACGTAGGAAGACTGCTTGTGTGGCTGTTGCTCCTCGGATGAGGAAGCGGGCCGCTTACACAGCTGCTGCTCCTTGGACAGGGGCAGGGCACATGAGGCTGCTGCTCTTAGGCTTGAGGCAGACTGCTCATGGGGCTGCTGCTCCCTGGACAAGAACGCACCGCTCACGTGTCTGCTGCTCACGTGGTTGAAAAAATAATGTGAAAAGAAGTAGGAAAGAAAGGAACAACAAAAAAAAAAGGAGAACAAAGAAAAAAGCAAAAAAAGAAAAATCTAACAAAATAATAATAAAAAAATAAAAATGAAAAATTGAAATGTCACTCCTTTGGCTTGCTTAAGATCCCAGTTTTCTGGAATGTCTGTGATTTTGTTGTTGTTGTTTTTGTTGTAGTTATTGTTGTTACTGGGACTGAAAGCCCCTGTATAGGCCAGACCCTGTTCACTCCCAGGGACTAATCAGATTTTTTTAATCCTTCATCTCATTCAGGGTGGAATCTGGGTGTGGCTGTATTCCTTGCCTTGGGGCTGGAGGGAGGAGTGGGGTTATAACTTTAGGAGAAAATGGCTGCCCAGGTCCTGGGTTCGGGAGTGACTCAGCACTCAATTTGATGCCACTTCTCCTGGCCCCCCTTCTCTCCCCAGCCTCTCTCCAGATTCCATTCGTCCGCACCTTCTCCTGTTCTTCAGCACAGGTGAGTGTCTGTGTCCAAAATGTCCTATGAACAGAGTTCAGTGAAAACAAACAAACGCTGGCCGCAGAAACGGGGAAGGCTGAGTCTCTGTAAGCTCTTCTCTTACCGCCACTGCGTGGTCTGGTCAGCGCTTCAGGCTGCCCCTTTTAGGCTCAGTCCTCCGTAATTACGGAACCCAGCTCTCAAATCCCCCAGCACCAACAGTCCTGCGGATCTCCTTTCCACAGTCAGGGGCTGTGCCTGTCCCAAGAGACATGGCTGTGTGCTGCGTGGTCTCCCTCTGACCCTCTGGGCTCAGTTGTCTGGCAAACTTTCCTGCCCAGGTCCCTGGTTTTTACCTTTCCAGGGGAACTCTGCCCTTCCTGGCTGCAAACTGTCTCAGCAGCTGAGTATACTTCCAGATTTATGGGTATTTATTACGGGCCAGGCACTGTACTAAGTGTTATGCACAAATGATCACATTGAATACAACAAATCTATTGGATAGATACTATTATTATGTTCCTCCTGCTTTAGGGCTCCACGGGGCACTTGTAACTCTCCAACAAGTGACTTCATTTGTATCTGAGCAGGATTCTGCTCTTACAACCAAACAATCCTTTGACGTTTGACCTTTGCTCTGAGCCTTTGTCCACTGTCACACACATAGTTCAATATTTTATATAGCTCTGTATTCAACTTCTTAAAATTAGAAGAACTCACTTATCTAAATAGATTTTTACTTTTCTTATGATGAAATATTTTGTATGTACTCAAGATCTTAAAATTCAGCACATTTGTATTGGAAAAATATGGCACTTTTACCTAACATTTCACATCTGTGGCAGTTTTTGTCATGCAAAATTCTCATTAGGATAAATTTTACCAACTGGTGGTTAAAAGAACAAAACTTACCAGGGATGAGGTTTTTGTACGGGTGTGTGTAAATACTGCTGATTCTATTCTCGTATTCAGAGAGCTCTTTATTGGAGAGCTCTATTATTTTTAACTAGAGGCCCAGTAGACAAAATTTGTGCACTGATAGGAGACCCAGCTGCCGGCCAGGTACCCCCGTCCTTTCCCCCGGCCACCTGCCGCTGCTGCTGGTCAGTGCCTCCCCCGGCCAGCCCTGCCCCTGGTCAAACTCCCGGATGAACTCCTGGTCCAGGGGACAATTTGCATACTGCGTTTTTATTATATAGGATCCTTTACCAATATGAGAGTCCAGAGATGTGTTGTTGTTTTTTACAATCACAGATTTGTTATCTGACATGCTCTTTGTCTCGGTTTATTAGACCACAAAGTTGGGATAATACTATAGACAGTTCTAATTCAAAGACATCATTGTTCAACAATAAAAGAATAGAAATTCAAGAAAGTAATTTGTTCAACAGCTAATAAATGTTTTGTTTAACAAATGCCCCCCAGATTGGTTTAAAGATATCTAAAATTTTTAAGCTAAAAAACGTAGCATTTTTTGGTTGACAAAATTTTAAATTAAATGTTTAGCTAACTACTAAACAACTTCATAGTACCTGTTGTTAAAATGGAAATGAAGGTAACAGCAATGAAGAAGAAGACAAAAATTATTTCTATTCTCATCTGGAACCAGCGCAGCGTTGACAGGTACATGAACCAGTTGGCAGTATGTAAATTCAGAGCTTTGTGGAACAGTGTTTCAAAGTAAGGCTGACGTCCAAAGGCACGAAGTGTCCATAGTCCTTTAAGGCTCGTGACCAGATGAGTGAAAATTGGGCTCCTGCCTGTGAAATATTCCCATAGAAAACAATGCAAATCATGTAAATGCACAATGCAAATGCTTACGACCACGTACCTGACAAGGATTAGCTTAGAGGACAGCAAACGTCATTAGTTAGAATGGTCTTCATACTGGTGTCATACTTGGAATAGATGAAATTTATAAATTTTTAATGTTGCCCTTCTTTTATAGTTGGCTACCATGGATGGGAACATAATATAAAATCACTGCTATTATTTATCCATGTTCCTTGGCTACTTCTGGTCAGTTTTTCTGGCTAATCCTCCATTAATCACTATTGAGTGAAAATGGTTTTCTTTTAAAACAATTTACTCAAAGCCTTGATTAAGAATGTTTAAAAGATTTAATTTAACAAATAACCTTCAATGCAGAAATGCACTTGAAATTTAGCCCCTGAAAATGCACCTGCACCAAGGCTGTTACCGAAAATGTGCTTCCCAAACAGCTCAAGCACAAAAAGGCAGGCCTGAAGAGAGGAAGGAAGGGTGCCTGAAAGGAAGCCAGAAGGAAGAATTTTGTGCAATATTGTTTGGGAACTCAGACAAACTTTTAGTAATAGTAGGACTATCATTTTTAAATGTAATTTATATAAGTAAATTATGAATGAATATCCTATATAACTCTAGTAAGACTATACATGAGCCTGGCTGGTGTGGCTAAGTGGTTGAGCATTGACCTTTGAACCAGGAGATCATGGTTCAATTCCTGGTCAGGGCACATGCCCGGGTTTCTGGCTTCATCCCTAGTAAGGGTCATGCAGGAGGCAGCTGATTAATGATTCCCTCTCATCATTGATATTTCTAGCTCTCTCTCTCTCCCTCTTCCTTCCTCTCTGAAATCAATAAAAATATTTTTTAAAAGTATTTAAAAAACCAAAATGAATTCATACACTCTTAATCAACAAAATCAATCTATGTGTACTTTGTAATTTACTGTTTCCTTTTATGTTCATATACTTTTAATCCTCACCCACGGATATGTTTTGTTTTGTTTTTTTCATTTGAGAGAGAGAGAGAGAGAGAGAGAGAGAGAGAGAGAGAGAGAACAACATCATCGATGTGAGAGGGAAACATTGATCTGCTGCCTCCTGTACATGCCCTGACTGGGGATCAAACCTGCAACCTAGGTATGTGCCCTGACTGGAAATCGAACTCACAAGTTTTTGGTGTACAGGACAACACTCCAACCAACTGAGCCACCCAGCCAGAACTCTAGCCATATGATTTTTAAAAGTCATTGTTATATAATGCAAAAGGTTACAAGCAGGAAAAAAACTTTTGGAAACATAGATTAATTATAGAGAATCATCTTGTGCGTATTTTCTGAGGTAAGCGTTGCACACTTGGTGTCATACCTTCAGATTCCAGTTGCTTGAGCTGCTGGGAGGTGTGGAGAAAGTAGTATCGCAATGCAATAAAAGCAGCGATAACTGGCACTGTTGCTAAGAGGATGTAGGGCCTTAAAACTGAGACCACTGCTACAGCTCCAATCACAATTAATACCAGCTGTAGATCAAAGAAAACACGTTGGTGTGTAAATATTTTCATGTTGCAAAGTAGACAAGGTATGTATGTCAGAGGTATATCTCTAAATAGCTCTTCACACTCTGTTCCATTCTCAATAAAAGACGCATTTTCCTACTAGGACGGCTGTCATCTCAAAGTACTTTCTCATAAGTTTTCTTTGAATATTTAAAAATTGTTTAGGTTCCTCATAATAACATTTTGAACTTTAGAAAAAGTGATCTTGGATCTCTTAATGTGCTAACTTCCTGTATACAATACATTGGGAAGGGTGACTTTTTTTTCTAGACTGACCCTCTTTTAAAATAAACTTTAATTAAAAAGATAATTTCCATATGAATGTGAAATTTTAATATTTATTTCGCTTAGACAAGTTATGAAAAATGGGCATTCATCTTGCAGCCTGAGTTAGAAAGATCTAGTTGAAATGTATGCTTGGCATTTAGGCAAGCCACTTAACTTTTCTGAACCTAGTTTTCTTATGTTTAAGATTGAAAAATATTATACTTAATAACTAAATGTTACTCCCTTTATCCAAAATCCTGTTTCTGTTCCTTCAAACAATCAGAGATGACCTAGAGGCACCCCCCCAAAAAAAAATTTTGGGGGTATGGCTAATTTAATTTGAAATTGGATAACTTTTTCTATCTCATATATTGTCAAAATAATTTTGTGTTTCAGTAAAGTCATTCCACTAAAGTTACAGCTTCACATTATTCACCAAAAATCTGGAGCCCTGTTGGCAGTATCAGAAATAATCTAACCACATTGGTGTTCTTCAGGATCAATTAAAGGTTCAAATTCTATATTTCCACATGACAAATCAACACATTTTAAAACAACAACAACACAAGTCTGCTAACATTTATTACACAATAACCCTTTTGAATAAAGTATAAACTGTCATAATAAGGGTTAAAAATAAACTTATGATAATATCCATATGATAATCAATGAGCCAGTTCTCCACCAATTTCCATGGCTGACACGTGCATTACCCAGATAATAAAGAGGAATACAGAACATTCTGGTAGATGTGAGCAGGGTGTGGGTGTAGCTAAAATCTGCATAAATCTTCTTTGAGTAGGTTATTTTCATCTAAAACTTATAATCATATCTCCATGACACTTTTCTAGGGAAAATGCCTGCACATCTCGAGGCATCAAATTCCGCAATACCAGCCCTCCACTCATTCAACAAATATCCAGCAAAATCTTTGCTGCCAGACACTGAACTAAGAACATATGCTGACCCAGTAATCTCAGGAAAGTCTTCCCTGTTCCATTCTGCCCCCAACAAGTGCCACCAGTACAGTGAGAAAGCCCCTGATGCCCTATTACTACATCACAAGACTTTATCAATGGGAAACCATAGTTTTATAATAAAGGATTATTTTCCTCAGAAATAGGATCTTTGGGGGAGAAAAGAGAAAAATTCTGATCTAAGCATGATTAACGAGGGAATATGACAATTTAAATGGGCAAGCATTAAATAGCAGTGTGTCTGAAGGACAAATGCTGCGATATTGGTAGCATGGAAACATTCAGCTACGCCATCAGAATCAGGATCTTTTGATTGCTGTTGACAACTATAAATGTACTGTGTCCATTTGACTTCTGACATATTCCCCACATATCTGGGTAGTCAACTAACCAAGATATCACACTGGGTTAGAGAAGAATGGAGAAGAATTTGAGCACAGACTTCTAAATCCCATTCATTCTTACCCAAATCCTACACTTTGTCAGAAGAAAAATTCAACAGATTATAAAACCTGCAAGGCACCATTCATTCATGCTCTTAGGAAGCGGGCAGCACATTTTTAACCACCCAAAGCATCTCGTAAGCATCCTGACACTGACAGTTACACAGCATTGCCTGAAACTGAAGCTGATAAGGATAAAGGGTCACTTTGAAATCAGTAATTAATTAATTAATAGGTAAATAAATGAATACCTATTAATTTAAAACCATGCATGAACACCAGATTTGGAATTCATAAATGATGGTCCTTGAGAATTTTTAGTAAGGATTTAATGGAATTAATAGAATGAATAGGGGAAAAAATGTGAAAGACACAGTAGAGATCAAAGAAGCAGGAATCAGTGTGCAATCCTATCTAATAAAAGAGAAACATGGTAATTGGCGTACGACTGCTACCCTAACCATTGGCTAATCAGGGAGATATGCAAATTAACTGCCAGCCAAGATGGCGGCCGGCAGCCAGGCAGCTTAAACTGAACATGAGGCTTGCTTGCTTCAGTGAGAGAGGACTGCAACATTCTCCGCCTGCTGCTGCAGGCCTCTGAGCCTGCACTTTAAGAAACATTGTAACATATAGAAGCTAAACAAAACCCCAGAAACCAGCTTTCAGCTGGCTGGGATCTCAGAGCTGGAGTTGATACAGAGTTTTGATTATAGAACTGAAACAAACCAGATACCTGCTTTCAGGAGCGGAGGCCTAAGAGCTGGAGCCTCAGAGCTAAAGGTGGCCCAGAATAAAAAAAGAAAAAAGAAAAAAAAAGGAGCAGTTGGGAGCTTCAGTCCCAGCCCGAAAACAGCCCTCAGCCTCTCACCCAGACTGGCCAGGCACCCCAGTGGGGACTCCCACCCTGAAGGGTGTGTGAACAACTGCAAACAGCCATCATCTCCTCATCCAGGCTGGCCAGACCCCAGGGGGACCCCCACCCTGGTACACGGCACCCTTCAGGGCAAACCAGCCAGCCCCCACCCATTCACCAGGCCTCTATTCTATATAGTAAAAGGGTAAGAGGCCTCCCAGCACCGGGATCAGCGGAGCTGCAAGGCCTCCCGGCACTGGGATCAGCGTGACAGGGGGCAGCACCCAAACCCCCTGATCGCCCTGCAGCTTTGTGTGTGACAGGGGGTGGCACCCCAACACCCCCCCCGCC